TAGAGGAAGGAGGCACTAATTTTCACCATGAAGGAGAACCAGCAAGACCAGCCCAAGGGCTGGACATCTAGCTCTGCGAAGAGACTAGAATTCTGCAGGTTTTGGATTGTTTAGTTTTCCAACAAGGAAGGTGGAATCCCAGGCCTGCTCCCCAACATGCCCTTTTCAGGATTATTACTCCATCTTTCCAGAAATGTCTCTGGCTTCTCAAAGAAACATTCATCCTGAGGGGAACAGTTAGTCTTTGTCTCTCCATAGTAATAGAACCAGCAGCTCAGAAAAGAAAAGCCCGGCAGTGACTTTTCCATCACCCCATCAGCCCCAAGGTCGTTCTGAGAAATCCCCAAATTTCTTGTAGGCAGAGCATACGATATATTTAGCAACAAGTTCCTCTGTGCCCTGAAGTATGCCAGAAACATAAACTTTGAAAGCTCACGGAAAATAGGAGAACTTGTGGTTTTGTTACTTGGCAACTGAGATTTGAGATGTTAAAATAGGAAATTTGCATTATTTTATAATTCTAAAACTGCAATACATGGTATTCTCTATTCTTGGGTGCGGGGAAACACTGTACACTTAGTACCCCACCGCTTCAATATCCACACTCGTTAGACTAGCGTTGCTGCTGTTATACTGTTGTCATCCAGAGTGGATGCCTCACGGGCTGGTGTCCAGGTGAAGCAGGGAGTCTAGCTAGAATTTCCCAGGAAAGCCTATATTCAGACGATGAGAAGAATTTTGCCAGCAAACTAGCAAAGTCCCTTGCTAACAAAATGGTGGTGATGGTGGTGGTAGAAAAGAACATTGGAGAGACAGAGATCAGAATAGAGGCATCACCCTGACTGGGATCGTAGTGGGGGATGTTGCATCGGCTCTACTTCGGGGAAACGTGCCGTCCCTCTTGCTGGCCAGCCCCACCTCCCTGGCTGCTGTCCCTCCACCTCTGAAGTTGCCCCTGACTCCATGCCCAATGCAGAAGAACCTATCACGTTGGCAACCCATATCCTTAAACCGTATCTTGTGACTAGCGCCGTGGCCAGAGTGAAGGAGTGATGATGGAAATGGACAGAGTATTTGGCGTAGCTTCATGGGGACGGTGGCATGGAAGACACTCTTCTGTATGACTCGACTAGAATGGTTACCTGAAACTCAAAGCTATTTTAGGTGCGTTGGACACTTCTGGATTCAAGGGTGGGCCTTAGCACATCTCTGCTCCCTTTCCAGTGTTATTATATCCCCAACCACCTAGAGGAGTTTTATTACAAGACGGATATAAAAAAATATTTATTGAACAAATAGCTTAACTGAGTCAATGAGCTGTAGATAATACAAAATCGAGTGATCTTTCTAATGTCTCATGAAATTAAATTCTCACTTACGTTAATGGATTATATTTCTAGACAAAGATCTCAGATTATTGGCCATTTATAAATCACAAATCCTGCAACTTTAGGTGTGGGTATGACATTCTATTATCTGTTACAGAAAAAGCTTGAACTGTCTTCAACAAAATGTTACCTAAGCATTCTTTTCATTCTAAAAGGCGACAAATCTATGAATGTAGATTATTTCTCAAGCTGCTTCCATTTATAACATTCCGTGGTTCTTATAAAAAACATATAAAAGAAGAAACACACCCGCCGGCTCTATTCGACACTTCCTATACTGTAGGCTTTGAAAAATCATGAAAACACAATGCCAATTCACCTTTGGTGGTAATCCAGTACCTCACCCCGTCTAGAAGAAATGTTAATCATTGACTTCTGAAAAGTTGTTGCAGGTTATCTGGTCAGAACAATTAATTAGCAATAAGGACTTACCATTTACTAATCACCTTTAGGGCGCTGTGCTAGTGCCAGTGCAGCGGCACTTTGAATATAGTTGAGAAGACAGACAAAACCCAGGAACTCATAATTACAAACTGTCAAAAATTACCAGGACAAAAAATAACGGGGCCGAGGTAGAGGTGAGCTATTTCTATTAGGAGATCGGGGAAGGTCTTTCTGGAAAGGTCTCATCTGACAGATAAGAAAGATTCAGCTATATTCAGGGCACAGGGGTAAGCATTTCAGGCAGAGAATACAGCATGAGCAAACAAATCACGATTTTAGAGCTTCTTGTATTTACAGATGAAATGATACAACACCTAGGATTTGCTTTAAAATATTCATTGAGCAGGTGGGGAAGGGGAGCTTTAGGGTTATAGACAAACAAGATTGGCCAGATAATGATGATTTTTGGAGCTAAGTGATGAGGACACAAAGATTTCTTCTGCTGTTCTTCCTTTTATGTATGTTTATAATTTTCCATAATAAAGTCTTTTTTTAAGTGTTTTTTAAGAAGCCTGTGGAACGTGTCTGATTTGTAGGTCTCGTTATTGTCTAATATTGATGGTGGTTTTAGAATATGACCCTCTTTTACAACTCACCATTTAAAGAATATTGGAACTTTTGGTCTGAGGAGACTAGTGTTTGGAATATCTGAGCGGGAAGCTCGGCAAAGTTCCCTTCATATAAATTAATCTCTAATTAATCGGTATCGAGGGGATAGCCCTCGGTATAGACTCATGTCTCACTTAGAGCCTTCACAAATTTTCATGAAGTGAGAGGAAAAGAATATTTAAAGAAATTTGACCCTGTTCGTCTTTTAATATATCAACTTTTCTGAAGTATAATTTACATGCAATCAAGTTCACTTATTTCAAACATACAGGTTGATGACACCGTAGAACCATACCCAGATCAATGTAATATGGCATATGGCATACCTCCACCCCTCTAGAAAAGTTTCTTTGTGCCACTTATGGTCAGTTCCTCCTCCACCATTTTAGGAAACCACTAATCCAATTTCTATTATCATAGATTAGTTTTGTGGGTTCTAAAGTCTCATATAATGGAATCATACCCATTCTTGGTATTGTCTCCCTTCCTTCAATATGTCTGTGTGATTTATCCTGGCTGTGGTGTATACTAGTAATTCATTTTTTTTTTTATTACTGAGTAGGGTATTCAGTTGTGTGACTATACCACAATTTGTTTATTTATTCACTTATTGATGGATACGGGGTGGATTCCAGGTGTGGACTATTATGAATAAAACTGCTATGAACAGTGAACATTTGTGTACAAGTCCTTTCTGTTCCATACATTTTCACTTCTTTTTAGTAAATACTTAAAAGTGGAATTGCTGGGTTATATGGTAAGTATATTTTTAACTCTATAAGAAACTTCCAAACTGCTTTTCAAAGCCCTTGTACCACTTTACACTCTCACCAGCAACGTATGAGCATTCCATTTGCCCCCAGTCTTTGACGATATTTGATATTGCCAGTCATTTTAATTTTAGACATTCTAGTGGGCGTAAAGTAATATCACATTACAATTTTAATCTAATTCACACTTACATTACATTTACAATCTAGTTTACGTTACAAGCTAGTAGTGTTGAGTACCTTTTCATGTTGAGTACTGGATATTCATATATCTTTGTGAAGAGTCTACTGAAATCTTTTGCCCTTTTAAATAAGTTATATTATTTGTCTTATAATTGGGTGCTTTACATATACTGGATGTTCTCCTTTATCAGTTATACGTGTTGCAAAGATTTTCTCCCATTCTTCCTTTTCATTTCCTGTATTTTTCTCTTGAAGAAAACAGGAGGATTTAATTTTGATAAATGCAATGAATTTTATTTTATTTTTGGTGTTATTTTTGACCTAGTGAAGAAATCTTTGCCTGACACAGTCATCACACATGTTTGGATCTATTTTCGGTCTCTCTATTCTATTCCACCCCCTTGATTTTTTCACAGTAAGTCTTAAAATCAAATAGCGTGAGTTCTCCAAGTTTGTTCATCTTTTTCATAATTATTTTTTCTCTTAGATCCTTTGCATTTTCATACATATTGTTGAATCAGCTTATCAATTTCTTAAAAAAAAGAGATATGCTGGGATTTTGATTGGAATTACATAAAATCTATAGATTAATGTGGTGAGAATAGAGAACAATCCTGAGTATCTCAATTCATGAACATAGTATATATTTCCATTATTCAAATCTTTAAATACTTCTCTAGCAATGTCTAATCCTTTTCTGTGTCTTAATCTTGCACAGATTTCATCATATTTATCCCTAAGTAGTTCTGTCTTTTGATCTTATTGTAGACAGTATACTTTTGAAATTTTATTTTCCAGTTCTTTGTCTAAATTTAGTTTTTAAAAAAGTCATTTCTAGCTTTAGTACTTTGAGATTAATACATTTGCAACTTAACAAATCATATCACTGACATGTACATGAGTTATTTCTCATAAAAACACAAACTGACTCTACTTTCTACTATAAACTGAGGCATCACATGAAAAATAATTTGAATCAAGCTATGAAATGTGCAAAATCCTTCTCAGCCTTTTCACTATGCGTCTCTTAGGAGAAAATTGGAGAGATGTCACCATGTTCTTATACTATCGGAAATGGGAAATGGGTAATTTTTTTCCTTTATACTGAGACTATCCCTAGAAGGGAGTATAACCTAAGGAAGGATTGGAGAAAAAAAAGCAGCAGAACCCTTTGTCATGATTGTTCACAGAATGTGTGCTAAATGTTCCCATTGTGTTTTTCGGAACAACCTTCTTACCCCAGAGCTCAGTTCAGGGAGTCATTGTGCTTTCCCAAAAAGATCCTGATTCTCTGGGTTTAAACCTGAGCTTTGTGACTTTCCAGTTGAGTAAGTTTGATTGAGTAACTTGTTCTATAGAGGACTTACAGTGCTTTTTATTTTTTCCCCTAAAATTGAAATGGTAATAATTCTTGCTTTGATTCCTTCATGGAACTTTTTCTAAGGATCAAATGTTAAGGCTCATAAAAGCCCTTTGTAAACGGCAAATCTTTAATCAAATGTTAAGTATCAGTATGATTGGAACCTTTTCCAGTGGCTATGTGGAGCAATTTAATTACTAGTGACAGTTTGTTGATTTTTTTTTTCTTTTTAAACATTTGACACAGGAAGAAGGGAGAGAAGACAGCCTTAACATACACAGACTATCTGCTATATGTTGGGCACTTACCTATATGGCTTTTAAACTACTGGCTTTTAACCTATGGCTACTACAACCCCATGAGGCTGCGGTGGGGATGCTGAAGTAAGAACTGTTTTATTTTGTTTGTTTGTTTGTTTGTTTGTTTGTTTTTGAAGTAAGAGTCATTATCTTTTACAAATAAGAGACTGGGATTCAGAGACATTAACTTGCTCAAGGTTTCTCACGTATTAACTATCTGACTTTAAGACTTTGCATATCCTATAACACAAACTGTCTAATTGAGAAACTAGTGAATGTTGGCAATGAGCGCGCAAGGGGAGTGTGGGGATGCTTGAGTAGTGGATGCAAAACAGCTCCAAACTCAGTTGAGGGCCACTGGATTTGCTCCCCACTTGTCCGTGTGTAACCTTGTTGGTCACCACAACCATGTAGAGTCTCCAAGTGGTGAGGCAGGCCAGACTTTTAAGGCAGCTGAAATCACATTTCAGGCTGAGGTGTTTTCATAGATTTTAAGTTTATTTACAGTGTCTGTATGGAAATTTATTTTTGGAAGCTTCAGTCAAATAGTATTTCTTAAGTATCTTTATATCTCTAGACACGGATACAGGACATACCCCCAGGGAGATAATTCATGATAGTTCCCAGCAATACACAGGCAGTGCTATAGGAATCCATAGAATATCATGCTCTAGGATACAGAGGAGGCTGAGAGCGTACGTGGGCTTCCATTGGTTGCTACAATCTCACTTGTGCTTTGAATTGGCAGGTAAGATTCAAGAAGGAAGAAGGGAAGGGCATGATGGGAATGAGAAGACGTGTTTTCTACTGGAAGGACCTCAGGGAGGCCATGTGGTTGGAAACGTGCTGTCAAGAGATGGTCAAGCACGGGGTCTGGAGGGAGACTACCCACATCTGATGGCCCACCAGTGCCTATCTTTGAGATTCTGGTTTACCGATTCACTCCCTGGGCCCGTGCATGTATGTGTGCATGTATATGTACATGATGATGCACACACAATCCCCAACCGTGAAAGAGGAGCAGTGATAGTGCTCATCTCCTGGTGTTACAGTGAAGAGTCAGTGAGACAGTGCATGGCTAGTACGGCAGGCTTCCTGACACATAACTCACACTGATTAAAATGACAGCTGTCTGGGGCACCTGTGTGGCTCGGGTGGTTAAGTGGCTGCCTTTGGCTCAGGTCATGGTCCTGGAGTCCTGGGATCAAGCCCCTCAACTCCCTGCTCAGCAGGAGTCTGCTTCTCCCTCTCCCTCTGCCTGCTGCTCCCCCCACATGTGCTCTCTTTCTCTCTCTCTCTGTGCCAAATAAACAAATAAAATCTAAAAAAAAAAAAAAAAGATAGTTGTCTTTATTACTAATGGTCTCAGATGCCCAGGAAAGGCAAACATTTGCTCAAATTCGTGAACATCACCTTCCAAATTTGTGTTTGTAACCATATCAGTTTACTCGGGCTGCCATAACCAAATACCACAGACTAAATGGTGTAAGCAACAGAAATTTATTTTCTCATAGTTGAGGCTAGAAGCTCAAGATCCAGATGTTGGCGGGTTTGGTTTCTCCTGAGCCTCACTCCGTGGCTTGCAGATGGCATCTTCTCCCTGTGTCCTCACATGGCCTTTCCTCTGTGCACCTGTTAGTTCTCCCTCATCTCATAGGGCACCAGTCACGTTGCACGAGGGCCCCACCCGTATGAACTCACTTGACCTCAATTTCCTCTTTAGAGGTCCTGTTTCCAAATGCAGTCACATTCTGAGGTCCTGGGGTTTAGGGCTTCAACATTCAAATTTAGGAAGGGACACAACTCCGTGCATAATGGTAATCATTCTTGCTTTTCTTCCTCTTGCTTTCAGAGCACTCCTTTTCCTTTTCAGGGTTAGTCCTTACACACCTCCCACATCCCATCAAGTATTGCCTTCCTCCTCTCTTTTTCGGTGGCTTAATATCTGGGGCTCTAGGTCATGTTGCTTTCGAATATTTACTTATCCAAGCTTTTTTTTTCTTTGAAGAAAGAGGTGGATAAATATAAATCTTCCTGCCTCATACATTTATGGTGGAAATAGAATGCCTTTGTATTTTTTTCCCTGTAGCGAAGTGGAGAAGATGCTTTCAGATTTTTATATAGTGCAGATAAGGTAGCAGCAAGCGTGTGTGTGTAGGTGTGTGCGTTTGGCATGTAGCCAGAAAACCAGGAAATCCTGACTGATATTTGGATGAACAATCAAAACAAAAATGCCTGTCTTCAAGTGAACAATGCCTCAGACATGGAAAGCCCAGCTATAGAAAAAAGTAATCATAAAAAAAATAAATGTTAACGAAGATTGCTTGTCTATACGAAAAATGCAGATCGCTGCCCTTACATAGAACGGAAAAGGTAACGCCAAATAAACAGTCCCCAGTGTACAGCGTCCAGCTCTGGACAAGGAAGGACAAAGGACCACAGAGAGGACACCCACATCTCCAGCCCCCCCATCTCCCTGCTGTGTAGTTCTGCTACAACTGGGAACAACTTTCTTCAAATTACCTGGTGGTGAGCTTAACCCAGGAGAAGATGAAGTTGAAGGACTAAAACGCTTAATGACAGAGACACTGGGTCGTCAGGATGGAGTCCTGCAGGACTGGGTCATTGATGACTCTGCATTGGCAACTGGTGGAGACCAGATTTTGAACCTCCTCAGTATCCATATATTCCTGCACATATTACAAAACCTAAGGACCATAAGAAGTTGTTTTGGGTTCAACTTCAAGAGAAAGCCTTGTTTGCAGTCCCTAAAAATCACAAGCTTGTAGCTGCACCGTTGTCTGAATTGTATGACAATGCCCCAGGATACGGACCCATCATTTCTAGTCTCCCTCAGCTTCTGAGCAGGTTCAGTTTTATATACAACTGAATTCCTGCACGGTGGAGAAGTAAAAGGAGCCGTCTCTGTGAGCACAGCTAAACACCGTGTAGAATAAACATGGTAGAAAAGTTCTTTTGGTTTTTATCTCTTTCCCAATCCCTAAATTGCTACCGACTTTCTATTGTTTGAATAGTAAAGTTAATATGAAGAACTAGATAGTGGTGTAAACAAACGTGATAAGGCTTAATTTACTTTTGGTTCTACTCTTACTTTTTTTGTACAACATTAAAGAATATGAGCTTCCAAAAAAAAAAAAAAAAATCTCCCTGCCATGTTGCCACACTGTGGATGTGGTCTTCACTTCAGTGGCACTCAGGCAAGGAAAAAAAAAAAAGAAAGAAAGAAAAGAAAATGCACATGTTGCATATGGAGAAAAGCTTAAGTTCTTCCTCGATTTATGAGCTGCCAAATCTTGCTGCTGGTGTTTACGTTAACAGAGGAATGCGATATTAATATTTAGCTCACTCTGTGGAAATCTGCATTTAAATGGCAACTTCAGGGGCACCTGGGTGGCTCAGTGGTTGAACCTCTGCCTTGGGCTCAGGGCGTGACCCCAGGGTCCCGGGATCGAGTCCTGTATTGGGCTCCCCACAGGAAGCCTGTTTCTCCCTCTGCCTGTGTCTCTGCCTCTCTGTGTCTCTCAGGAATAAATAAGTAAAATCTTTTTAAAAAAAAATTCTTAAAAAAACAAAAAAACAAAATAAACAGCAACTTCAGCATGCAGGCTCCAGAGCAAAATCTCTTGTCTGTCCGGGTCCTGCACACACACACACACACGCACGCACACACATAGAATGTTTTCCAGCTCCCATGGCTGGGGGTCCTCAATTAATCCGGAGAATGACACATGGCCAACAGAAGGAGGGGACGGAGCGAAAGGGCAGTGTTGCCCGTGGCAGTGTGCTGTCGCTTTGAGAACGTGCTGGGGCTGGGAGGGCCTGGCAGCTGCAGCATCGTAGGGCCCTGGTGACCTAGATCCGGCCTCGGCCCGGGCACGAGCAGCCTGCTCGGCGTGTGGCTGTGTGGCCGTGTGGCCGGGCCCACTTCCCCATGACCACCTGGGCTGCTCTGCGCCCGGCTGCACGAGGGACTACTCGCTGCTGGCATCGTCAAGCCTTCAGAGTGAAGAGTCCTTAGAGGTTTTTGAGAAAACTCATGCACAAGCCTTGACGGAGGCTGACAGTCTTGGACAGCAGTGGACAGTCGGGAAAGGCAAAGGTGGGCCCGGTGGCCGTGACCTCGTGACCTCGTCCGCGCTCCACGCCCGCCGCAGAGCCGGGCCCGCACTCTGTGCCCCGCCAGGAGCTGGGTGAGAAAGATGTTTCTAATCCAAGTGGAGCAATAAACAGGGAGTAACTAGGTAGAAAGGCTGAGGCATTCGGTTCCCTGCCTGTATGTGTTTTGGCCTCTTAGAATCTGCAGAATCAAATAATTTAAAGCCTCCTGATAAATACGTGCAAGTGTTTAGAGGTGGAATTATTGCAGCCTTGGCTGGGCTGGACCGGTACAGTCAGGTTTCACGGGAGAACTTTAAACAGCGTGTCCCTCCGGGGAAGGGGGACTGGGCTCTGGCAGAGGAATTCCACTGGGCAAGTGCGACTCAGGAACATCCGGCCGAGGACGGGCGTGGGACCGCAGGAAAGTGCTCCGGCTGCTTTTTTGACAAAAAGCATAGCGTGGAATCGAAAGCGTTCGCAGGCCTTTGTGTGGAAATCCGGGCACCCTCTGAGCCCTGCTTTTGTTGTTGTTCTTAAATTAGCTCGGGAGGGTAGACCGTGGGACTTCCCGAGTGACCCTGCCTGCGTCCTACCCGAGAACTGCGGCGGGACAGTCGCCCGGCCCGGCTGACCAGCTGCTCCCGGGCCACGGCCGGCCCTGGGCCCCGAGGCCTCCCCTGACCGAGGCCTTCCGGAGGACACCAAGCAGGGGAGAAGCTGGCTGGTCCCCGTGGGAATCGCCCCGAAGCAGCTCGTGGAAACAGGGAAACACATCGAGAGCAGGTCTCTGCAAAGGAACGAGGCCACCGCTCCTCTTGTCACAGGGATTTGGGGAGCTACTCAGCGCTTCCTTCACCGCTTACTAAGCTTTTCTTTCCTGCTGCAAGGACTCCGCCTCCCGCCCAGATCCTTCTGGTCTGAGGCCCCCTCCTGTGTGAGAACTGGCCTCCTGCGGGAGAGGCATCCCCCCTCTGGGAGCCCCAATCCGGGCCCCCTGGCAGGGACAAGTTACCGAGTTAACTAAGCAGCTAATACATTCCTGGCGAACTAGGTCAGGAATCCGAGAACACATCCCACTTGCAAAGGGTAGTAGCTGTGGGATCAGTCCTTCAACTCTGAGGGATGACAGAAGATGAAAGTTAGTTACCCCACGTATGCCAGAAAGATCGCAATGATCTTTCAGGGCTGAAAATGGATGTGGGAGTGGAATAACCAGACACTCTCGTCTCCCCGTCTGTCTGCCATCCTGGTCAAGAGGGTAGCCCCTTTCTGGGCCCCCATTTGAATGATAAATTCCATGGTCTTCTTAACAAGGTCTTTCAGTGCTTAAAACATCCTTCTTCGGTGTCTTTCTATAATTTAATTTGTTGCATATGACTATGGGTTTTGTTTTTTTTTTTTTTTTTCACGTGACTGTGGTTGTATTAGCATCAGGGTTTTCTTTGAGAACTTGGGTCAGCGCCTCTGCAGAAGTTGCACGGCTTTCACGGGGTAGAGTTAGGGGCTCTCAGGAGTGAATCCAGGAGGGAGCCTTGCCCACACTGGGAGGTAGGTTAGGTTCACAACGGTGCCTGGTCCCTCCAGGTTGGTCTTCTCTGCCCCATGCCCCTGGGTTACATGTTTTCCTCTGAACTTGTCTTCTCACCATCGCTCTTGCTGGTCCTCTTGCCAAGGTCTGGCCCTCCCACGTCTTCCACTATCACCGATATACAAATGATCGATAAGTGCATTAAAAGTCTGGTTTTTGAAGGGTTATTTGCATTTTTAAAAGGGGCAAAGACTTGAAAGACCCAGGGAGAGCTTTCTCGGTGGAATTTCTGGCATCCACCCTTAGAACCTTAGCCTCTTCACTTGCCCTTAGACCTACGCCCTCAACGTCGGTGAAGCCGACCTGACACCGGGTGATCAGCAGGACTCCGGTATAAATGACCTGAAACGCAAAGTCGAGAACAGCCTGTTGGTTTCATGTGCCTTCCTTTCCTTGGTCTAGGAAGCTGAGTTATAGATTTCTGAAAATGACATTTGTGGGAAAGCACACACAGACATCCAGAGTGTGTCTATCGTTTCATAGTTGGTAGACAGGGAATATTTGGGATCAATGCAACACTAGGACTTCTGATATAAAAGAATAATGTATGCATGGCATATTTCAGTCGATTTCTCAATTAAATTGGCAGACAAT